ATTCACTTTTTTTTTTAAAATATGCTTAGTATTCTATGAATTAATATTTTTAATTTCTTAAGCTGTTCTCCCTTGATTTAATATACATGTAATTGGAAAATAATAATGAATATATTGATTTAATATATATCAAATATTTAGATAAAAATGTATATTAATCCCATTTAATGGGAAATTGCAAGGATAGCTTTAAATATTGTTTTAGTACATATTTATACATTAATTTTTATTATTGTTGATGTTGTTGTTGTTGTTGTTGTTATTTATATTAAATAGCAATTTCAAAATATGTGTTAAGAAAAATAATCCAAAATAAATAAATAAAAATGAATCAAATTTTATTTGACTGATTTTGACATTTATAAAAATTGATGAACTAATAATGGATATTTCTCAAATTTTATATATTTCTAATTTATTCATCGAAAGGCTTATTTTGCATTGCTTTCGTCATATTCTTTTGTATGACTACATTCAAAACAAATATAAATATATACATATTTTATTTTTAAAAAAATAATTTTTGATAAAACAAAAAAAAATCTATATGAAATAAAATCAAACAATTTATACAAAAATCTTCTTCTTTGTCAAGCTTTTTAGATCTCACTTCCCCGTGCACATTTTTTTTCAACCAAAAAAAAAAATTGCCTGAGGTGAAAAAAAATTAAAAATGATAAAAATAAATAATGAATAAAGATGCTATAACAATGTTATAAATGATGATGAATGAAATTGTACTCATATGCTTTTATTCTCCATAAAAATTAAGCATCTATTCATCTTCCTTTGGTTTAATTCACTCATTATGTATGTAATGAAAGTTAATAATGGTAAAATAATTGAGAATATTAATAAGAAAAGTGGAAGTGGAAGAGAATAAGATGAGAAGATAAAAAGGAAAATACTATATTTTCTTTTTAACTTTTAACAAAATATATTTTTATAATTAAAATAAAAATGACAAATTTTAGTGCCTAATTAATACTTGAGTATAACATTTTATATAATATATAGATATAAATAAATAGATATAGATATAAATATAAACGGTTAATCTAAAAATGTTTTGCCTTTTGATTTTCTTTTTTAATATATAAATTTTATTCATTGTTAGTCTAATAATCAAAATAATTTTTACTTTATACTTTTATTATTTTTTTCATCTTCCTTAGTTATTTTTAATCTTTATTTAATCAAATTTATAATCCATTAAATTTGAGGTTAAAAAATATTAACTATTATTTTAATAAAAAAATTGAACCATATATATTCTTAATATGCAAGATCTATATGAAGTTTTATAAAATAAGGGAAAGTCTTTAACAATTCTCTCTTTTTTTTTTTTTACATTAGTCTTTACCAATGCTTTCTTTTATAATTGCTTAACTTGCAAAATTTTGTTTTTATGGTTATTTTTCTTGTCCCTTCTCTCATTTCCAATTTCTTATCATTTTTGTCTATTCTTATTTTATTCCTTTAACTTATATTACAAACTATTTTAATATATTAATATAAGTGCTTAAATTAAAGTTACAAAAAGAAAGTTATTTGAATTAGATTTTAGTGCAATTAAATGCATATTTCCTAATACATATGACAATAATATTGGATATATATACAATTTAGAAAGAATGTGAAGTACAATTTATATTTAAAATGATAAAAAAGTTAATAATAATATAATATAAATAAAATAAAAAACATAATATTAAAAAAAAATGCAATATTTTCATATAACTTGATTTTTATCAACTTCATAACTTTGTTATTAAGTTTAGTGTATGAATCAATATGAATCAATATTACTCTAATGAACTCCAATCCAATGGATAAAGTTTTGTCCTTACCACACATTCAAAAAAGTAAAAAAAATTCAAACCATCAATAATCTAAAAAGAAAAGAATACATAAAATTCCAGTAGATAAAATTACAAAATTCTTTCAAAAAAAAAAAAACAATCACCATATCTTCTATAAAAAATTTATTTAAAAAATAAGACTAATAAAGAAAATAACTTATACAACAATATACATATTTTGGATTAAGGTAAAAAAAGATATATAAAATAAAAACATAATATTATATTGTATTTAATGCAATCTTTTATTTTTTTAATAAAATGTATATTTCTCTTTTAAAATAAAAATAAAAATAAAAATATTTAATTTCTAATCAATGTATTATAAGATAGAATAAAATTTCTCAATTGTACATGAAGAAGAAGAAGAAAACAAAAATGATAAAAAAAAATTGTAACCGTATAAATAATTATTATGTTATGCATTACAATCCTATGCTTTTACCCTTCATAAAATTTAGGCATCTATTCGTCTTCCTTCGTTTTAACACATTATATTATATTATATATGTAATGAAAACTAATAATGATAAAATAATTGAGAATATAAAAATAAAAAGTAGAAGACAAAGAATATAAGAAGATAAAAAGATTGAACTCATATTATTAAATAGATTTATTTACATAATTTATTCTTTTATAATTAAAATTAAATGACAAATTTTAGGGCCTAATTAATGTTTGAGGATACTATTCATTTAAATTATTTTCAATTACTGTTGAGAAGTTAATTAGTCATAATTTGTTATTTGTATTATATAATTATATAATAAATTATAATAAATAATAAATAAAAATATATTATA